AGCATACCGGTCCCAGTCAGGAAAACTTAAACTGATTTTGTTGTGGACTTTAATATTTGAGGAAAGATCTGAAATATAGATGGCAATCCAGTCTGATTAGTTACACTGCTCCCAGTAAAATGTGACAGACCTATGACCTCTAAACATTCAGTCCCACATGTGACCTCAAAGCCCAAACTAGATGACCCAGAGTTGTTCTGACGGCTCAGCAGGTGGAAGACTGACCTGTGCCCATCTTAACCGTGCAAGGGTAACTCATATCTGGGGGCCCAGAGCAGGGGTGCAAAATCCATGTGAATGTTTTGGGTAAAACAGAAGATTCTAAGTCGTTTCCTTCCATGACCCACAGATATCAGGAGGGTGTTAGGGATAGAGGAAGAGTGTAGCTCAACTCTTCCACTCTGAGATATATTTTAACAGAAATTTGAGAAGCATTATCTTTATATAACTCAGGTATAAAGGAGAATTCTCCAGCCTTTTGAAGATAATTTAAATAACAATATTTGAAGGTGCATCAAGACGCTGGTGCAGCAGAGCAATTATCCCATAAGCAGAATCTTTCATCTAGATCTGTGTCTTCCCACCCCTTTCCTCTTCATAGCCGTGGAGGTTCCCTGATCCAACATGGTACCGTAAATCAGTTAAGAAACTCACATTCGTGAAAAGACCCCCAGATTCTTAAGATTAGGGTTATCTGTGAGAAAATTCAAGTGAGCTTTCTGATAATTCACCCTTGGAGGAATATGTGAAAAATCAGGAAGGCACCCTTTGACCTCCGATGGCCTTCTTCTCTCGTTTCCTTGATCTTCACCGTGAGACGAGAGCTGCTGGCCCTGAGCGTGCTGCTGCGCTGCTTCCATGTGCTCGTGAGGCTGCAGTGGGGACCACGGGGACTCCTGGTGGTGGGGCACAACTGCCCAGGCGGAGAAACCCCATTCAGTGCAACCTCGTCCATTCTTGGTGCAGAGTCCATCATGCCCCTCAGACTGGAGGAGGAGGAGGAGGAGGAGGAGGAGGAGGAGGAGAAAAAAAGGCAAATGGGCTTCTGGCTTTGGCTCTGGGCTATACTCTTCCCACTCAAACCAAACACCTCCCACCTGCCAAGGGAAAAAATCTGGTGTTAAAATATAATCAGACTTGTAAAACAGAACATGGGGTGATTATTTTAATTACAAGGAGAATTTTCATTTTCCAAGAAGAGCATTTGCCAATAGATTCCTTTAAATAACCAATTCCCTTGGCATGTTTCAAGGAGATGTGATTGACAACGACATGACGCATACGGAGCTTTTTTGGAAATGCATCCCGTACGTGTCATTGGGGTGGCCTTGCTGGATAAGGACAACGGAGATCCAGATGAACCAAGGTTGCATTAAAATAGAATTTCTAGAATCAAAGTAAGAAGAAATCTTCTTTGAACACCCAATGTCTGACTCAAGTGTTATGAAACTGGGCCGAGCCCTTGTCCTCTCCTCTCCAAACCAACACTTCGTTTGGTTTGATTTGGCCTGCAGCTGCAGCCGCTTGCAGGGGTTAAGCAGATAAACCCTGGAGGTCAACTTCCTGGTCTTACAATTTTGTGACCTTAGGGATGTTATGTACCTTCTCTGAGCCTCTGTTTTCCTATCTGGGAAATGGATTGATGTGAGCATTCAATGAGGTAACATATTAAATGTGAAAATATATGCCAGACTCAATCTGCTTGCCACATACTTGATTATTAACTACAGTTAGTACCTGTTAGATGAGCAGGATGTCATTCTTTAGGCCCAGGAAAAGGAGGACAGATGTCTTGTTCTATTCTAATTGCATGATCCCTGAACCAGGAGAGCTTCTAATTAGCACTGAGAGGATAATTCTGCATGAACTAACTAAACTCCAAACTGTTATTTTCCACCAATATCCCCTTCAATTGCAAATGATCAATATCAGACAACTGAGCCAGCTCATCAGTTTCTGCAGGGTGTGCAAAGGGCAACTGACTCTTCCAAGGGACGCCATGGAGGCGTTTGTTAATTAAAATCAGAAGATCTGTGAGTGACGTATCAAGGTTCTCTATGATTAGAACAATTAGAAACAATTGTTTAAGACTGTTTTTTTTAATGTCCTCATTAAAATTATTTCAGCCATAACTTATAGCAGTGGCTCTCAAAGTAAGATCCCTGGGTCAGCAGCATCAGCCTCAACTAGGAACTTGTTGGACATAGAAATTCCTAGACCCACTTTAGACTTTTTACAACACAGGAATCTGGGCCAAGCATTTGGCCTGGCAGTTCTGATGCCAGTTGGGATGCCTATATTCCATGTCAACGTGCCCGGCTTTGAGTCCCAGCTCCATTCCTGATTCCAGTTTCCTGCTAATGCAAACCCTGGGAGGCTGTGGTGATGGTTCAAGTAGCTGGGTCCCCTTTACCCACATGGGAGACCTGAGTTTATTAGTTCCCTGGTCTTGTCTTGGCTGTTGCAGGCATTTGAGGGGTAGGCCAGTAGATGTAAGCTCTGTCTCTAATACATACAAAATTAGTAATTATTATTATTTTTTGACAGGCAGAGTGGACAGTGAGAGAGAGACAGAGAGAAAGATCTTCCTTTGCCGTTGGTTCACCTTCCAATGGCCACCGCGGCCAGCGCGCTGCAGCTGGCGCACCGCGCTGATCCGATGGCAGCAGCCAGGTACTTATCCTGGTCTCCCATGGGGTGCAGGGCCCAAGGACTTGGGCCATCCTCCACTGCACTCCCTGGCCACAGCAGAGAGCTGGCCTGGAAGAGGGGCAACTGGGATAGAATCCGGCGCCCCGACCGGGACTAGAACCCAGTGTGCCGGCGCCGCAAGGCGGAGGATTATCCTGGTGAGCTGAGGCGCCGGCCAGTAATTAATTTTTTAAAAATTTATTTATTTATTTGAAGAGTTACAGAGAGGCAGAGGCAAAGAGAGAGAAAAAGGTCTTCTGTCCGCTGGTTTAATCCCCAGATGGCTGCAACAGCCGGAGCTGAGCCAACTGAAGCCAGGATCTAGGGGGTTCCTCCGGGTCTCCCACGTGGGTGCAGAGGCCCAAGGACTGCTTTCCCAGACCATAGCAGAGAGCTGGATCGGAAATGGAGCAGCCAGGACTTGAACCAGCTCTCATCTGCAATGCCTTCACTCAGGCGACAGCTTTAGCCGCTATGCCACAGTGCCAGCCCCTAATAAATAATTTTTTAAAAAACCCACAGCAATCCGTGGCTTAATAAGCCCTCTGGGCTGGTATCTGTCTGGAGAATGAGTGGTGCATAGATCCGCGGATCCCACTGCGCACCGGCCCCTCTGCTCCTGACAGAAGTCATTAATGAAGCTCAGCTCCTCTCCCGCTGAGTCCGGATGAAATCTCAGCAGGCTTTCAGCACAGTGCTGGGAGTCACTGCTGATCAGTCAGAGGCGGCATGTCTGGGCAGGGCTCAGTGCTCAGAGTTCTCAATGAAGTATGTATTCAGTTGCTTCAATTTCTTGTGGATTTCTCGTGGAGGAACATGATGGTCCTATCTAAAGAGATTAAGAGGCTTGCAGAGCAATAACAAAATAAGTCGGATTTCTGAACCTTCATAGCCAAGTCTCCCTCCTGACATATGCACGCCCAGGCCCACTGTGTATGAGGTTCCCTGCAACGAGCAACCCGTCAGAGACTGCAGTGAAGCCTCTTGCCGTGGAGCTCAACCTTGACATAATTGCTGTTCAGATTCTCTCAGACCAAGATAAGTGCCTGGTCGCGACAGTATGAAAGACACATACCGTCTACGCACTTATCTACTCCTAGTTATTCTACTATGCTACCTTTTGCACAAAGGGAGATCACAAAAATTTACATACTATGAACTGATGAACTTCAACCCCCTCTGGGCTATTCCTGCTTCCCACCCAAAATCGTATCTTTTGAAAAAAAAATGGCTTTTAATAAGATATAGACAATATGTCAGTTACAGAAGAAAATGGAATATAAAAAGTTCGCCAAATTGCAGGGATGTACACACATGAGGACTCTAGAAGAATATGGTTCTTAGACCCAAACATTCTTAGCTCTGATTCCTGGCAGGTTAATCACTTCTCAGTATCAGGGCAGGTGTTGGGGCACAGCAGGATAAGCCGTCTCTTGGGATGCCTGCATCTCTCACCATAGTGCCACTTTGAGCCCCAGCTGCTATGTTTCCGATCCAGCTCCCTCCTAACGCACCTGGGAAGCAACAAACGATGGGTTGTGTACTTGAGTTCCTGGCTCCTAGTTTCAGCCTGGCCCAACCCTGGCTGATGCAGCCAGCTGGGGAGTGAACCAGAGGGAACATGGGTCTCTCCCTTTCTCTCCCTCTCTTCTTCTCTATCATTCTCCCTTTCAAAGAAATAAATCTTCAAATGATTCATATTATCTGAGTAAAAGAAAGCATATATTGATACTCTTCAGATGAGGATGTTTCTTGGATATAGATACCAAGATTCAGACACGATGTTAGCATATTTATTCCCTTGTTATTCTAAAAATGTTCTCCTCTCAGTTCTTTTATCTGAACCCTCAGTCATCAATATTCGGTAGAGACTGAACAGAGAGCAGCAGACCAACCCAACATCAGATTTATCTTCCTTTGTCACTGCCTGTTTGTTGCTGTGGTTCATTATTCAATGTATGAAAATCCCAATAGTTTCTTTTTTAAAAAATAGAACTTCATTTATCTTTGACCATAGTTCCTAATACAGAGAAGTTAACTTGCTACAAATCTTTACTGAAGGAGATACTTCTTTAATGGCATTTCTGATAATGGCCATTGAGGTCAGTAATAGCAGTTGACACCCCAGGAATTTAAATATTCAAGGCAATTCAACAGGAATTTACTTTGTAATGTATTATGTGTCATAAGCTGTGGGCTATGCTTCAAGACATGCTGAGTTCCCAGCTGGAAGAGAACTTGAGCTAAATCATTCAGGACCACAACCCAATCCAGTCCCAAGTCCAAAATCAAGAAGAATGATACTGAAATATAGAAGGGAATGTTTTTAGATTTATTTATTTGAAAGAGTTTCAGAGAATGAGGGAGAGACACAGAGAGAGAAATCTTCCATCCACTGGTTTACTCCCCAGTCACAAGCCAAAGCCAGGAGCCAGGAGCTGCTTCTGGGTGTCCCATGTGGGTGCAGGGGCCCTAGCACTTAGGCTGCCCTCTGCTGCTTTTCCCAGAGCATTGGCAGGGAGCTGGATCAGAAGTGGAGCAGCAGGGACTTGAACCAGCACCCATATGTGATGCTGGCATCACAAGCAGCAGCTTTACTCGCTATGCCACAATGTTGGCTCCAATTACAGTCATTCTTGGGTGTCAAGATCAGGGAGCCATTCAGACTGCGGCAAGTTACAGCTGGCTGTGTGATCCAGAGATGGAGACTTGGAGAAAGCAGGTGAACGGATGGCTTCTCTTCATGAATGGACTTCAGTTCTAGTGGAAATCTGGAATGAGGAGAGGGAGGGAGGCTGTGGTGAGATGCATTTGTTGCTGCCCAAAGACTGACTTCATCCCCAAGCAAATTGGGCTGTTAGCTGCAGAGCTGCAGGGGAGCTTCCGGCTCCACCACGCAGGCACCGTTAGGTGTTCACGCCAGCAGCCAGCACCGCTTTCTTCCTTCTTCGCTGTCCTGTTCTTTGCTGTCCTGGGCAGCATGGGCCCAGCCATGGGCGATGTGCTGGGTAAGGACTAAGCTAGCCCAGCAGTCCTAGTCCATGAATTCTTAGCTTCTCTTGTAGGAAGAGAGCTATGTGTAGTGGGAGCCATGTGACTCCCTGGAGCCAATGGGAGAGAGGGGGAGATTTGCTGGAGATGCTTTGGGGAAAACTTGTTCTTCTTTTCTGTGAAAGGCACAGAACTGGCACAGCCCTTTTCCCCTTCTTACCTTGCCTGCAACCATGTAACCAACTGGAAAAGGCCAGGTGAATCTGAGATACCACTAAACCAATGCCAAGAGACTGCTGCTGTGTGAGAGTTATAACCTCCTTTTTGTTGAAGCCATCACCAGTTACATTCCTAACTAATAACCCCACTCACTATGGAGATGGGAATCCTAACACTGTCACTTCAAGGACTGGAGCAGAACACTGAACTGGTGAGCATTGCCAGGGACTGAAAGCCACGGGAAAGTGGGTGGCAGTGATCCGGCTTCAGGACCTGATGATTTCAGTCAGGAGAGCAGATCTGGACGTGGCCAGATCATGTCCCAGTTGAGATGTTTGCCCTAGCTCAGAAGATCGTGTTTTAAGGCAGATACTAAGACTAGCCTCGGGTCATTAAGGCATTGGAAAACTATCATAGAATAAACGGTTGAAGAGAATCCTAGAAACAAGATTGTGGATACAGGGAAAATATCCCTACATTAAGCAAAGGACTCTGTGTACTTCATCTTCAGTTTCCATGAGTTCTAGACAGTCTTAACTGGACCCAATTCATGTTCTAGGCCCTATTAACTATATTATTTTGACAAAGCTATCAAACCTCACTACCTTTCAATTTCCTCTTCATTAAAATAGGGACGATAATAGAGATATGTGTGAAAAATACAGGGAATAATCCATGGATGCAATACGTATTCAACAAATGCTATTTTTATTCTTCTAAGCAGTAGTGTCTATGGACTCTGGAATTAAAATACCTGGATTCAAATCTGGTATTCCCCAATCACTTGCAGAGAACCTTGATTGTCAGTTTCCTTGTTGTAATGTGTGGGTGATAATAGCACAATTTCTCAAAGGATGATCATGAGAACTAGATAAAGAAGAGCACACAAAGCCTTGGGCACAGTTACATACTCAATAAGTATTGGTTGTTATGTATTAGCAGTACCCTAAGTAATAGAAAAGATGTATAGAACTTACTTCTTGTCCTCAAATGCTTACTAGTTTCTAACAACAGTTGAGAGAACGAAATAATGATATACATAGAAGAGGAGATCAGGGAGGGAAATTATCAGCTAAGGTTGGAAAGGTTAGAGTAAATAGCACAGAGGAAGCTGAATTTGAGGTGGGCCTTACATGACAGAACAGGGATACTGAGGAATGGAAAGAAGACAAGAGATTGTCATTATCTTCCATCTTCTGGAGACTGATCCACACATGTTACAAATTCTTCCTTCTCCTAGCCTCATCTCCTTAGAGTACGCTGAATAATTTAATAATGTGATTTAGGAAAATACAACACGAGGGGCCGGCATTGTGGCACAGTGCATTAAGATGCTGCCTGTGACACCAGCATCATATATGGATGCCAGTTCAAGTCCTGGACTGATCTGCTTCCAATCCAGCTCCCTGCTAGTGCACCTGAGAAAGTAGTAGAAGATAGCCCAAGTGCTTAGATCCTAGCCACCCACATTAGAGACCTGGATGGAGTTCCAGGCTGCTGGCTTTGGTGTGGCCATGTCTTGGCTATTGTTGTCACTTGGGAGGTGAACCGATAAATGGATGATCTCTCTCTCTCTCTCTCTCTCTCTCTAACCCTGCCTTTCAAGTAATTAACAAATCTTTAAAAAAAATACAACACTAGAAATTGTTTAGGCCTCATTTCCTAATTGCTCACCCACACAATTGTAATAATACTTTAAAGGTCATTTGTGCAATGCATGCTTCAAATCAAACCTAAACCAAGAAATATATAAGAATGAAAAGTCAAAGAATGCAGGGACAGGTGCCAAGAACTACTAGGCATTTGATTCTGGCTATAAATGATGTCGAACAATGATGACAACAGAGATGTATGTAGCATGCAGGTGCTGGGCTGTTGTTTATTTTCTGTGACATAGATTCTTCTTTTGGAAAGAAATTTATCGAGGGTTCTTTGAAGCAAACAAAGAAATTTCTATTTCTAGAAAAAGAAATACTGGCCTTAAAGGCTTCAGAAAAGGACTCAAGACTTCTAATTTCCCTGTTCCTGTGTTCCTAATATTATCTCCTAATATTCTCCAAACATAGTACTTGGTCAGTCTCTTCAAGGTCTCCTTAATGTGTGTTGCTCCCATGGTGGGCTCATTTCCAGGCAATGACTACCATAATGGAGGTGCTCAAAAACACTGGCTGGAATCACAGCCATGTCTTTGACATCTCTGTTTACCCAAAGCTCACATACCTTACATGAGGCTTTTCTTACCATCTGAGTCATCATCATTCTCTCTCTTCTCTAAACAACAGTGTTTGTTGTTGGCATCACTGCTGGGAACAACATGTACTTTCCAACTATGGATGTCCTAAGGCCACTCCTCCAGTCCCCACGTCCTTCTGTGTGTTCCTTTCCCTTTTCCAGAGTGGCCCAGGTGTTCCAGGAGAGTGCTACCGTTTGGACATTAGCTTTGGTGTCCTACAAGGGCCCAGTATGTTAAAGGTGTGGCCCAAGGGTGCTGCTCTTAGGAGAGGGTGGGGGCTTGATCCAATTATGCTTTTTAGGGGGTGGGCCTACCGGGAGACCCTTAGGTCATCAGGGGTTGTCTCCTGAAAGGGTTGGTTATACAAACCGGAGCCAGCCCAGTTGCTCTGCTTCCTGGCTCACCGTATGATCCTTCCTCTGCACTTGCTCCTCTTCCTGCTGTCTGCAGCAGACATCAGACCAAAGAGGTCACCCAGTCTTGGACTGTGAACCTCCTGTTTTGACTCCATGAAAAAAAAATAACTTCTCAAATCACACTGAATTTGTTAAAAACTAATTAAAAATTAAAATAAAGAATTACTTTCCTCTTTCATAAATTGCTTCTCTTGGGTATTTGTTATCATGATGAAAGGCTAAGACACAGGCAGACAGAGCAACATGGGTAAAGCCCAGAGACCCAGGAGAACAAGGCATTCAGGAAAAGGACTGCGGGTCAGTGATTTTAATGACCATGACCTTTGGAAAACCTCCCTACAAGGCAGAAGCAAACCCAGTTTCTCCACAGCCAAAATCTCTTTACCACATTTTTGCTTCATGAGCACAGTAGCCTACCACAGTATGACCATATTCTCTGAGACTCTTGCTAGAAATCTCAAATGTTAAACAACCATTACACACCCGTGTGTTAAGCTAAGCAGCTTCATGCCTAGCAGCTCTGCTGGAGGGTAAGGCAACGCCCTGGCTGGAAGGCTGCCAAACTAGAAACAACATTTTTCCTTTTTCTCCCTGGAAGGTGAATATGAATGCTCTGTCTTTCCTTTATGATCCTAACACTGTGTTACAGGAGTGAGGCTTCTCTGATTTGTGACTGACAGAGTTGCCATGGGTGATAAGTGGCCTAGCCGCTTGCCTTGCGGACGTGAACTGAAGCCATTTGGAATATGTCCCACAATCACTAAGCATGACTACAATTTCTTCTTCGCATGCACAAGAGCCACTCCCCAAAGAAGTCATCACTGCCACTTATTCCCTGTAACACTTGAAGCTTCAGCTCCACATCACAGTTCAGTTGTGTGCCAGGTGTTGTGACTCAAATAGACATTTGAATTACGAGCAAATGGAGATCATTAGACAGTGAATATTTTTTTCTCTTTTTCATTTACATTACTTTCCTAAAAGTTATTCTGGGCTTCATTAATGTGTTGTTTTAGAGAATCTCTAGAAGATTGTGAATAAGAACAATAAAACATTTTTGCTTCTGCTCCAGCCAGTGAACTTCTTAGTGTGTTAACTTTCCTCCATACTCCGAGTCTTACACAGAGCCTGCTCCATACTGCATGCTCTACGAGTGCTGGATGAATAAAGTTTGTGATAGGTTGCAGGTGGCCACACAGTCTGTACCACATAGGCTGCTGAGGTAACTGCTTGACCAATAGGAAATGGCAAAAAAGATGTTGTGCTCCTTTCTGATCCCAGCTCTCAAGAGACTGGATGCTTCCACCTTCTCAGAACACTCTCCCGGCAAGCCCTGCCCTCAACACCCAGCTACCCTAAGACAAGTTCCCTGGAGAAGCCAACTGATGGTCCTAGCAAAGGTCAGCTTTCTGTCCATCCCTGCCAAAGTTCAGAGGAATCAGTGAAGCCTCCAGGTTATCAGGTCAGAATTGCCTGACACACAAAATCATGGGGTAGACTCAAATGGCAGTGGCTTTAAGCCCCTAAAGTTTTAGAGTAAGTTGTGGCCGGCGCTGCGCCTCAGTAGGCTAATCCTCCACCTGCGGCGCTGGCACACCGGGTTCTAGTCCTGGTCGGGGCACCGGATTCTGTCTCTGTTGCTCCTCTTCCAGTCCAGCTCTCTGCTGTGGCCCAGGAGTGCAGTGGAGGATGGCCCAAGTGCTTGGGCCCTGCACCCCATGGGAGACCAGGAGAAGCACCTGGCTCCTGGCTTCGGATCAGCGTGGTGCGTCGGCTGCAGCAGCCATTGGAGGGTGAACCAACGGAAAAGGAAGACCCCTCTCTCTCTCTCTCTCTCTCTCTCTCACTGTCCACTCTGCCTGTCCAAGAAAAAAAAATAAAGTTGTGACACAGTAATAAATAGGACAAATCATGAAGGGAGCTTTAAGTACACTGTTCAGCATCCCAGGGATCAACTTGCGTACTTGTGGTTATGTGAGTGAGTCAAGCAAGAAGAGTTGTGCTGATTGAGTCAGCTGGTGATGGCCAGAAGGTGTGGTTTCTCATTCCGTGTGCTCCTGGGAAACAGAGACAGTAGACCCAGACCAAGCTCAGGACGAGGAGGTTTTAATCAGGATTGGACCTAGTAGCATGTACAGCCCACAGCCCATGAGGCCTGGTAATTCTTTCTTCAGCTGATTTGGAAGAGTTAACCATTGAGTATAATGAACATTTCTAGGTGGAAATTAGATAGAGGACCCGAAGACTTAACGGTGATAATGGAGTGAAAATCACAGGGTTAAATAGCCACAAAGACAGAAGGCAGGTGCATTTTCTTTCTCATCCTGATGGTAGGGACAGAAAAATATGGTTGCAAAAAATCAGAAATATTTGAGATGAAGAATAAGGGGCATACGAACATGTGTTCTTGGCATTTCTGAGTCAAGGGACTGGAAGGCATATTATCAGCTCTCTTTGTTTTATGCTGCTATGGCTGATTAATTTATAAAGAAAAGAAGTTTATTTAGCTTATAGCTCTGCAGCCTGGGAAGTCCAAGAGCATGCCACTGCCACGTGCTTGGTTTCAGGGAGGGCCTTCCTGCTGTATCACCACTTACCCGGCAGAGCAGGGGTGCCAGCTGGAGTCTCGTCCTCTTCTTACAGAGCCAGCTATGCACTCGTGGGGCTTCCCCATCTAATCCCAGTCACCTCCTAAAGGCCCCGCTTCAGAATACCCTTAACATAGTAGTGTTGGGTTACCATGAACTTTTGGGGAGACATTTGAACTGTAGCACTAATATTTTAAATTTTTCTGAAAACAAAGGAAAGGAATAATTGAAGAATAAAATAATGACAAGATAATGATTTAATATGAAAATCTTTGACTGGAGTATTAAGAAACTTCAATTTTAGTCCCAATATCTGGCAACTAATTTGACTTACTCTTAACTGTTTTCTTGTTGTAAAATGATACCACTCCACTTCCTTCATGGAAATTACGTGGGTTGAATTGCAGGAGAGGAGATGAAAAGAGGCTTAGAAAGAAAAATAATACACAATTTCTAAATAATAACAACTCTTGAGAGGTTCAGAACAGAAAATCTTCCTTTTCAAACGTGTAAATTCTTTTTTTTCCAATTAAGGTAAAGAAATCAGTCTCTTTTTATTATAAAAATGCTAATTATCACAATTATGTGAAAATTAACTGCAGTTAAATAGTGAAAGGTGAGTAAATGACCCAGCAAGATACAAACAGCAACACTGTCTGAGAGGAATTCAACATCTACAGTGAGTCTGTTGCGTCTTAGGCTGGTACAGTCCCATAGAAACACATGGGATGTGAGGGGGCTGGCGTTATGGCTTAGCAGGTAAGGGCGCTGCCTGCAAAATCCCGTAAGGGAACCGGTCCGTGTTCCAGCTGCCCCACTTCCTATCCAGCTCCCTGCTAATGTGCCTGGGAAAGCAGCAGGTAATGGCCTAAGTGTTTGGGTCCCTGCACACGTGTGGGAGACCTAAAAGAAGCTCCTGGCTCCTGGCTTTGGCCTGGCCCAGTGCTGGCTGTTGCGACCGATTGGTGAATGACCCAGCAGATGGGAGATAGTGCTCTTGCTCTCGCTCTGTAACTCTTTCAGAATAAATAACTAAATCTTTTAAAAAGATGAAACACATGGATGTGAGATGGAGGCCATACCAGCTGGTGAGGGAGTTGAGGGTACAAAGGAATCCCCAAGAGTAGCAATGGTAAATTTAAGACCCCAATGGCACTGGCAGGGAGCAGCTATCCTGGGCCATCAGAAGGGACCTAAGGGTCCAGCTGAGATGACCAGGACAACACCAAGAGCCTAGAATTCATTCTGGGTGGGTATCAGGGACCCAGGTGTTTGAGCCATCACCTGCTGCCTCCCGGAATGTGCATTAGCAGGAAGCTGGATTGGAAGCAGAGCTGAGACACAAACCATGGGATGAAGATATCCCAAGTAGTGTCTTAACCAATGCACCAGATACCAACCCCGCATCAACTTCTTGAAGTCCCAACATATGTAAGAATTTCAAACATTTTTGTACCCACACAAACTTAATTCTATTTTCCACAAACTTTTTTTTTTTTTTTGACAGGCAGAGTGGACAGTGAGAGAGAGAGACAGAGAGAAAGGTCTTCCTTTGCCGTTGGTTCACCCTCCAATGGCCGCCGCGGCCAGCACGCTGCGGCCGGCGCACCGCGCTGATCCGATGGCAGGAGCCAGGAGCCAGGTGCTTTTCCTGGTCTCCCATGGGGTGCAGGGCCCAAGCACCTGGGCCATCCTCCACTGCACTCCCTGGCCACAGCAGAGAGCTGGCCTGGAAGAGGGGCAACCAGGACAGAATCCGGCGCCCCAACCGGGACTAGAACCCGGTGTGCCGGCGCCGCTAGGCGGAGGATTAGCCTAGTGAGCCGCGGCGCCGGCCCACAAACTTTTAAGAAGTGTCTCATTTAATCCTCAAAATAACTATGTGTTTTTAAAAACCTATTATTTTACCACAACTGCCCACAACAACTGGGGCTGGGCCAAGTCAAAGCCAAGAACTCAGAACTCAACAGGGTCTCCCTCATGTGTGGCAGGGACCCCAGTACTTAAGCCATCGTCCACTGCCTCCAGGGGTATTGGCAGGAAGCTGGACTGGAAGTGGAGGAAGGACTCAGTCCCAGGTGCTCTGATACAGGATGCAGGCATCCCAAGCAGCTTAGTGCCACAATACCTGCCCCCAAATCCATCATTATTATTGCTATTGCTTTAAAGTCAGAAATTGAGGCTGAGAGGTTAGAATAACATTTTCCAAAGTTGCTTTGCTCCTGAGCCTGGAGGTGGGGATGGCACTTGAGGCCCTGGCTGGCTGACTTCTTCATACTGAATTCCTTCTAGTGAGGCCAGTGGTTGACATGCAGAGGTCTATTCATTCTTGCTCCCATGCAGTCAAGCCTGGCGAGGGGAATTTGGATAAATTCTATACATCAATCCTGCACCTTGGAGTGGATTCCAACTCCTTGGCAGGGACTGGGATTTGTGCTGCCCTCTAGAGGATCTTGCTAACTTAAAAAAAGGGAATTTAATACACAAAAACTGTTACACAGATGATGGAAGGATGGAGAAGTTAAGCAAGATAATGAGGCAACCCAGATTCCTCATACGAGAAAGTTGTTACCCGCTCTGCCCCCAGGCTGAAGGTGCTACCAGCCTGGGAATGGTTCTCAGTCAGTTGAACCTGGGGCCATGGAGTAGGTGCACCTGCTCTAAAGACACTGAGAGAAAGAGAGAGAAAGAGAGAGAGAGAGGAGAGAGAGGGAGAGAGGGAGGAGGAAGAGGCTTTGGCTTGCCCCTTCCATTAGCCCAAATTCCCTCCCGATGGCTCTCTTTCCATCTGGAAGCTCCTGACAAGGGGGGGCTGAGAAACATGGCCCATGGAAGTCAGGCCTCCTGCAAGATAGAGCAGAAGACAGCACTGGGAGTAGGCAGGCAAGTGACCAACACAGTTACCTTTGTACAGACAGCGTCTCAGAGTCATGCAGATATTTGTGAGAGGCAGAGGGAACAGCAAATGCAAGGCCTGAAGGTAGGCGAGCACCTGGTGTTTTCAAGAAACAGCAGGGCACCAGCATTGTGGTGCAGTCCATTCCACCATGGCCGGCAACCCTGCATCCCATATGGGCACTGGTTAGAGTCTTGGCCACTCCACTTCCAATCCAGCTCCCTCCTAATGCACCTGGGAAAGCAGTGGAAGAGGGCCCAAGTCCTTGAGCCCCTGTACCTGTGTGGGAGACCCAGATGGAGTCCCAGGCTCTTGGCTTTGGCCTGGCCCAGCCCTGGCCATTGTGGCTATCTGAGGAGTGAACCAGCAGATAGAAGGGTCTCTCTGACTCACTCGCTCTCTTTTAAATAAATAAATAAATAAATAAATAAATAAATAAATAAATAAATCTTAAAAGAAAGAAGTGGCGGAGATGCCAGCGTGGCTGTGGTGGTGGAAAGAGGGAGGGGAGACAGGAAGGGAAGGGGAGTCAGAGAATACAGTAGTTAGTCCTCAGTCTCTACCAGTTCTGCACTCTTGGATTCAACCAAGCACAGACTTGTGTTTGCTATCTGTAATCGCATCTGTACCGAACATGCATGGACTTTTGTCCTTGTCTCTATACACTAGGCAATACAGCAGAGTACCTGTCTATATGGCATTTATATTGCATTAGATGTTATAAGATATGGGAGCACATCCATAAGTAATATGCAAACAGTCCCCTGTCATTTATAAGAGACTTGGGCATCTGTGGATTTGGATATTCCCAAGGCATCTTGGAGCCAATCTCCCTTGGATGATAAGGAATGACTGTGTGCAGTTCTCTGGCCTGAGTAGGTACTTGAGCTTTTTCTCTGAGATAAGAAGCCCTGGAAGGTTTCTGAGCAGAGAAGTGACTTACTCAGGCTCCGCACTCTGGATCCTGTGTTGAATAAATTACTGGAGGATAGGGAAGGAGCCAGGAAGCCAGCTTGGGAAAGCAGTGGGGAGACTGTTTAGATAATCCAGGTGGGAAATGGCCCAGTCAGAGAGGTGGAGCCACAGTGGGTGGAGAGTGACTGGACTCTGCACTTATTCTGAAGAAGAGCCAAGGAAATCTGTGGATGGTTTGGCTATGGGATGTGACAAAGAGCAGTCAAGGATGTTTCTAAGACTTTTGCTTGGAGCAAAAAGCTCTCAACCTTTAGGAGGGTACCTTCACTGACATGGGGGAGACTGTAACAGCAAACTTGTTTCAGGGAATACCTGGAGTTCAGAAGAGCACAGGCTTTTTCGGGGGGAGAATGCTTGATGCTTATCATACCTAGTGCACAGACAACTGGAGATGTTGAGTAGGAGATGGATATATGAGGCTGGAGTTTGGGGACATAACTGGACTATAGATATGAAGTTGGCAGTATTCAATGTACAGCTGATATTTAAAAACATCAGATTGGTAAGCTATCACCATGGCATGAGAGGAAACTGCAAATACATGTCCAGGACCGAGTCCTGGAGCCTCCTGTGTTTAGAGACCCAAGACTGGAAGGACCAGGAAGTAGCAGAAGAACCAGGATAGACTCTTTGCCCAGAGGCCAAGTGAAGAAAGTTTCAAGGATGAACGTGACCAACCTCCTCCTGCTGAGGAGTCCAACCAGGTGAGGATGGGAGCTGAGCACCAAGGCTGACAATGAGGTGAACACTGACGCCCCTAAGAAGAACTGTGTCTGTGGACTAATGGGGGTAAAACGCTGCTCAGTGGGTGCAGCAGAATGGAAGGGGAGGAACTAAAGATGGTGGAGATGGTAGAGCCTTTTGCAACCTCCAACTGTAAAGTGAAACAGAGGGAGATACAGAATCTGAGAAACAGTTTAATTCTTACCATGACAGATATTACAGCATGCGTGTGAAGCTCTCAGCGGTGATTCAACAGAGGAGGAAAATTTGCTGGTGCAAGCCACAGAAGGGACAATTGCTGAGTCAGTGTCCCTGAGTTGGAAGCAATGGGACAAGTACACAGGTGGAGAGTTTAGTCTTGCTTAGAGACTCAGAGTTCATCCTGAGTGACAGAAAGTGTGGAAGCATGTACGTAGACAGATGCAGGTAGGCTGGTAGCTAGAGTGGTAGGGAGGGAGTGTGAGTTCATTTCTCACTTTGCTTCTCATTCCTGCTACTTTACCAACAAAAGAAGTCAGGCCATCAGCTCTGACTAATAGCAGTGGTTTTATGGAGGAGAGGGTGTGAAATAGTCCTTTTAAGAGCAAGAGAATATACAGGGAAGTATAATGGCTTTGTGTTGATTAATGCAGAGTGTTAATTGGTAATGAAGTAGTTGGTGCTTTAATTATTTAAACAAAGTATTTGAAAGTCAGAGGGGAGATGGACAGAGAGAGAGAGAGAGAGAGAGAGAAAGAGCGAGAGAGTGTTTCGACCTGCATCTGCTGGTGAACTCCTCAAATGCCCACAATGGCTGAGGCTGAGAAGCTCAGGGCCAGGAACTCAATCTAGGTCTCCCAAGTGGGTAGCAGGAACACAGTTACTTGAGCCAGGGTCTACACCAGCAGGAAGCCAGAGTAAGGAGCTGAAGCTGGGCATTTAACCCAAGTACTCTGATGTGGGTCATGGGCACCCTAAATTGGCATCTTAACTGCTAGGCTGTCTGTTCCAGTAATTACTATTTTTTTTTTAAATATCTTATTTATTTGAAAAGCAAGGTGACAAAGAGAGGGAGAGACAGAAAGATATTCCATCTGGTGATTCACTTCTTAAATGGCTGTGACAACAGGGGCTCGGCCAGGCAGAACCTAGGAGCTACGAACACCAACCCGGTCTCTCATGTGGGTTGCAGGGGCCCAAGCAATTGGATTGTCTTCTGCTACTTTCCCAGGCACATCAGCAGGGACCCGGATGGGAAATGGAGCGCCTGGGACTTGAACCAACTCTCTCATAGGGGATACCAGCATTGCAGGTGGCTGTTTAACTCTGCACCACAAAATGCCGGGAGTAGTTACTATTTTAAATTTGTAATAAATACTACTGGTCCTGTCCTTGTGGTGTAGTATGTTAAGCTACCACCTGCAATGCCTGCATCCCAGGTAAGCCCCAGTTGCTCCGCTTCCAATCCAGCTCCCTGCTAATGGACCTGGGAAGGAAGCAAAAGATGGTCCAAGTACTTGGGCCCCTGCACTCATGTGGGAGGCCTGAATGAAGCTCCAGGTTCCTGGCTTCAGTCTGCCCCATTACTGACCATTGTGGCTAATGAACCAACAGATGGAAGATCTCTCTGTCTCTCCTCTCTCTGTAATCCTGCTGAAGATTGGGATTGTTCTAAGCAATCCAGTGTTCAGGCAGAGTTACCTCACATGGTTCCAAAACAATAAAACCCTAAATTGCAACAACAGTGAGTACCATTTAATCTTAGATGAATTTGAGGGTGCTCTGGACATTTTTAATGTTCCAGAGTCATCTTTCTCAATATGTTAGGAATGCCTTGTAGAACCTTAACAGGAAGTTTCTGAACTGCAAGATAACAGGATGGAGAAACTAGAGTTTTTTTTAAAGATTTATTTTATTTATTTGAAAGACAGAGTTACAGAGAGAGAGGTAGAGACACAGAGAGAGGTCTTTCATCCACTGGTTCACTCCCCAGATGGCCGCAATGGCTGGAGCTGTGCCTATCTGAAGCCAGGCGCCAGGAGCTTCTTCCAGGTCTCCCACATGAGTGCAGGGGCCCAAGGACTTGAGCCATCTTCTACTGCTTTCCCAGGCCAAAGCAGAGAGCTGGATCAGAAGAGGAGCAGCTGGGACTAGAACCGGTGCTCATATGGGATGCCAGTGCTTCAGGCCAGGGCTTTAACCTGCTGCGCCACAGCACTGGCACCCTAGATTTTTTTTTTTTTTAATATTTATTCATTTATTTGAAAGGCAGAGTTACAGAGAGAGAGAGAGAGAGAGAGAGAGAGAGAGAGGTCTTCCATTTGCTGGTTCACTCCCCAGATGGCTGCAATGGCCAGAGCTGCACTGACCAGGAGCTAGGAGCTTCTTCTGAGTCTCCCACCGCCGGTGCAGGAGCCCAAGGACTACTGCTTTCCCAGGACATAGCAGAGAGCTGATAGGAAGTGGAGCAGCCAAGACTCAAACCAGTGCCCGTGTAGGATGCCGGTACTACGCTGTCCCCGAGAAACTAGATTTTAAGAGTATTATGTGGAAGCATGAATTAGTGTCTGTAACAGGAAAAACACACATAAAATATCCTTGCTCGGTTTTCCTCTGTGTCAAAATTCATCCTATATTTGATGTGTTGGGTACTGGGTTGAGTAGAAATGAATAACTAGAAGGAAATGAACTTATGTTGTAACAAATAAGCAAGTAGAGAGAGTAACATGGTAAAAAATCAGATTTTCTCCTTGTCACTGGGAAAGGTTACATAACCTGTGTGTGTGTGTGTGTGTGTGTTGAGTAGGCATGAGTAGAGGAGCCAGGAGAGGGCGTGGGCAGACAGTGGGTTGAGATCTAATCTCTGCCTGGCAGTCGATTCCCTCGTTCCTTCTGCTGCCTCTTGTCTGCTAGTTTGAAACTCCAGGAACACCAGAGAGGACGCAATTGGGAATGCTGGACCCAGAGAAGGTGCAGTTGGAAACCTGGCTTGTGGGTTTTTCTTTTTATCTCCATCAGCAACACGGAGGCAGGAATGTTTTGCCACCAGTAAGGGGCACATAGTAGCCCACGGCCTTGAAAGAGCCCTGGGACAATTTCTACTCTTCTACCACACCTGAAGAGCAGGGAAACCAGCTTTGTAATCTGCTGCCAACGCCCATCTCTTGAGCCTCATAAGAAGCACTGAAGAAAGCGAATGGATCTGACTGGCACTTGTGTTAAGTATTCTGGGAGTCATAAAACAAGAGGCCCTGATACTGTATTGTGTTGGTGCATACAGATTGGCAGCCACCCTTTAAGGCTTTTAACTAGGTTAAAAGTTAAGCCAGAACAAATGATCAACAACTGATTTATAACACCAGGCTGTGTTACAAAAGGTGCTTCCTTAAAGCAGCCTCCCAGGGCTGCTGGTGATGTTCCATTGTGTTTCTCTGTACAAACATGATATTAACCACGCCAGCCTGCAAATCCAAGGCCCTTCCTTCCTTCCTTTCTTTTTACAGTTATCTTGGCAGGAGTGTGGATGTATTTAGTTTGCGTCTTTGGTTTGAATTAGTGTATTTATTAAATAACAAGGAATCTGTTTTGAGTTAGTGTAGGAACAAATCATGAACAATGGATTCCCTTTGAAATTACTGTAGCATGGTCAATATTTTGTTTTTGTAGTTGAGACAAGAGGGACTTTAAAATAAAACTGTCAATGTAAAAAAGATCAATATGTAGACAAACAGTGAAACAGACATACTATAAAATGAAACACTGTAAAACTGATGTAAAAAGCACTGTTATTTTTGGATATTTTTAAAGATTTACTTATTTATTTGAAAGGCAGAGTTACAGAGAGAGAGGGAGAGACAGAGAGAGAGATATATTTTCCATCTGCTGGTTTACTCCCCAAATGGCCTCAATGCTTGGTAGAAGCCAGGAGCCTGGAACTCCACGCAGGTCTCTCACTTGGGTGCTGGAGATCCAAGCACTTGGGCATCATCTGCTGCCTTCCTAGATGCATTAGTGGGGAGCTGGATGGGCAGTGGCACAGCCAGGATGTGAGCTGGTGCTCACATGGGATGCAGCATCACAGCTGGTAGCCTAATCCGCTGTGCCACAATGCTGGCCTCTATTTGGGAACTTTTACAGTTCAAAAGCTATAGACTTTTAGGCTGGCGCTGTGGCTCAATAGGCTAATCCTCTGCCTGCGGCACCAGCACATTGGGTTCTAGTCCCATTCAGGGCGCCGGTTCTCTCCTGGTTGCTCCTCTTCCAGTCCAGCTCTCTGCTGTGGCCCGGGAGTGCAGTGGAAGATGGCCCAAGTGCTTGGGCCCTGCACCTGTATGGGGGACCAGGAGAGGCACCTGGCTCCTGGCTTCGGATCAGCGCGGTGCGCCAGGCCACAGTGGCCACTGGAGGGTGAACTAATGGAAAAGGAAGACCTTTGTTTCTCTCTCTCTCACTCTGCCTGTGAAAAAAAAAACAAAAACAAAAACAAAAACCAAAACTATACAATTTTAAACCTATAATAACCTAACATGTGGGCTACCCCCTCGTTTAACAGAAGAATTGGAAAGATTAAGTAACTTCAAGGAAAATCAATTACAGAGGCACACAAGAACTCAAACTGTACTTGTGCTTTTGAATCACTGTATCACTTAGATTTCTGATTATAAAACCTTTCATTGACATACGATTTAAGCTTGCGAGTAGCCCAGAAGAGTCTTAACAGCTTAGCATTCACCTGCTTGGGTCCATGAAATTTTAAATTCTAACTGTGGACTGATTTAAATGAGGGTTTCCCCATATTAAGGTATGGGGATGCAATCTATTTTTAAAATACCATGGAAGCTTTTACTCATCCATCTTGAAATCTAATGGTTATTAACGCTCAGTTTCTACTTACATATCCACTTTAGTTAGGCAGTAAGTGTATTACACCGCCCCAGAAATGCTTCTACAGTTAGAAACATGATGGAAAGATTTCACCTTCACCCTTAACAGCATTCCGGAACAGCTATCAAGGATATGAGGATACTAAGTGCTTTTTTAACAAGAAATGCTTGTGCCTCCCCTCCAGAGATTTAAGAGACGAAGGTGGGGAAAGAAGGGCTTATAGCCATTGACTGAAGACAGTGTGGACTGAAGAGTGCAGTAAAGACGGACTCTACCATGGACCCAGCAGGGTGGGACGCGAGGGCAGCATGGCGGCCCCTCGGGGACAGTCGGCCGCACTTTTCCCCCGTCAGACCCCTAACTCCTGCTAAGCACCGAGCCTGCGGAGTTGCTGAGAGTGTGGAGACGCGCACGCCAGCCTGCCAAAGCCCCGTCTGATGGGTTGCGGGCGTGGACGAGACTCGACAGGAAGGCTGGAAGCTCGGAGATGCACGCTGGAAGCCGGGGCGCACTGGCTTCTCACGGCCTGAGACCTCCCCAAATTAGCTTCCTTTGGCGAAACTCGCCAGAAATCACGGCGCCGATCCTGCACACACGGCCTTCTCCCACAGGTTTCTAAAACTCCGCCCGCGGCCTCCGGCCCTCGCTCTCCCCTCCGCTAGGAAGTCGCGTAAGGGAGGGCGCAGGTTGAACCCTGCACCCACGTCCGCTGCCTCCGCTCCCCGCAGGAGCCCGGAATCCAGGGCTTTGCCGTCGCCACGGCAACCAGGAGTCCCGCGGTCCCCCACCCTCCTCCGACTTCTTCCACTTCCCCCGACCGCCCGCGCGGAGCTGCCGCCGCTCTCGCGAGATTTGAGCGCGGCGCGGAGCCGCCCTGCGGTGATCTCACTGGAGACTGGGGCCGGTGGGGGGAGGAGAGGGAGGCGGAGAGGGAGGGGAAGGAATGGGGCGGGGAGGAGAAGGGCGAGCGCCGCGCCGCCACTGCCGGCAACTTTGTGAGCGAGTTCAGTGCGTGCGCGAGCGAGAGAGCGGAAAGTCAGTGCGGTGCCGAGTGCCCGGGAGGGAGGGTCTCCGGGGAGGGCCAGGTGCGGGTCCCAGAGGCCGCCCCCAGCCACCGCGTCTCCTCCTGCCTCTGAGGCGCCCTCCCCATCTCCTCCCCCCGCCGGCAGTTACCTGTCCCCTCCCCCACGCGGCGCGCACTTCCCCTGCCCCCCCCGCCCCCCGCGCGCGCCCACCCCGGGCCTCCGGACCTCGGCCGCCCCCTCAGCGCTTTCTCCCGGGTGCTGGCGGGCGGCAATGGGGGGCCCCGAGCCTCGGGGGCGGCGCGAACGGGGGCCCGGGCGCCTAGACGATAGTTGATGCCCGGGGACTGGGGGGCACGCCCGCCCCCGGCTCGCCAGCCCGCATTCCGCGTCCCCCTCGGAGCCGGCCTCGGGAGTTGTGCCGGTTCCGCCCCCGCCTGCCCCGGGCTCCCTCCGCGCGGCGCGGGGCGCCCGCCGTTCTCCGCAGACGCGGCGGCGAGGGAGCGCGCACCGACCGTCTACGCGGTTTCTCTTTCTCCCCAGGGAGAGCGCGCGGCGGACGCGCCCCGGACGCGCGGCGGCCCCAGGAGGCCGGGCGGAGCGGTAAGTGGCCCCCCAGGCGCCCGGGGTTCCGGGCCCGGGAGTGGGGTTGGGCTGCGGGCCGCGTCCTGCTCCGCTTGTGGTCGGGGCCGGCTCCGGGGTCCGGCGCGAGGCACGGGGGAGGCCGGGTAAAGTTGGATTTCCGAGTCGGCGGCGTCCTGATGCCGCGCAGCCTGGCGGGGGCGAGTCCGGGCTCCCCCGCGCCCGGCGCGCGCGCACGCACGCACCTCGGAATCCGGATCTGCACAACTACCGGTGCAGGCGGCTGTGCGGGAGGCCCGCATACCCGCGCCGCCGTGTGTTCTGCTGCGCCCACCCTGCCGCTTGCGGCTCCGCCGCGCGACCCTTGCCCTTGGGTCACCTGGGTGAGCGCTTTGCAGGCTGTGCTGGCGGGGACAGGCCGCGCGGGTTGATCGTGGGAGAGGGAGAGGTTCGGCGGGGTGCCCGGGGGTGGTTAATTTCGCTGTCGGGGAGTGAAATCCCGGGATGCTGTAACCTGCTCTCCTGGGAGCCAGTGACCCGTGAGGGGGCTGGGGAGGCGTGAGGGTGCTGCAGAAAGAACTTTTCCTCCCTCGCTCCGTCTGTTGCCAACTCGTCGCCTGACCTTAAAGGAAAACCGCGAGGCTCTTAAATCGCTCCTCGGCGTTTGCAGACGCGTCGGGCAGGTTGACATTTCATCGGGGTTCGCCGCGTGGAGAGGAGAGGGGCATGGGGAGTAGCTCACTCTCCGGGAAGGCGGTGCGGAGCGGGATTGCCGGCTGCTCCGGCTTCCCGACCGCGTTTGCCTGTCACAGATTTCACTTTTCTCGACGGTCGGTTTCTGGAGGCAGCACTCGCCGACGCGGTTACTACCTGCCAGGGGATTCTGTTTCTAAAGTGGAGCCAGTGATGCGGTGCAGATTTCGGAGCGAAGGTGTCGGCTTTCCGCAGGTTCCAGGTCTATCTGGATGGACCGGGGTTGGCGGTTCCTCTATAAAGCAAGCCTTTCATGTTGAGACTGACTCAGGCTCTTAAAGCCATTGTTTTTATACTGGTGCTCTGTGGGAGCTGAAGTGTCAACTTTCTCCTGTGTGCTCACACAAGGCGCTGAATTTTTGGGAAAAGTACAAGATTAAGCCCTACAGGATGGCTTCCCGCAGCCGGTTTAGTAACTATTAATTTTCTATGTAATCCTGGATTTAACGGCTTGGCTTTTTCCCTTTTTCATTTTTTGAAAGCTGCAATTAAGGTACCTTTACCCGGATGAAAAGAAGCTGATTGGTTAATATGGAACAGGGGCAGTAGCAGTAGTCTGAGTTAAAAGGTTTAAGGAAAGCAGTTCACGGTCACCGATGTGTCCAGCTGTTAGATGACATCCTAGTTATTAGCTGAGAATATTAATATGAAAGCATTTTTCCTCATGGAATAAATTATTTATACTAAGGCATTAGCAATTAAGTGTGCATTTAAAAATGACTTGGGTGATGGTTTGCACATTGTTTAGGGGCAGAATATGAGATTTGCGGCGGGATGAATGCTTTTATGTCCCTGACACTTATTTTCTTAATCTCGTTAATGCGTAAGTAAAGGACTCTTGAAATTGACCATCAATAGGTTTCTGCAGTTGACTGAGAGCAAGTTTGGCCAGTGGCTCAAGACTGTCAGTAGGTGCTGCTGTTGCTAGCATCTCTGTGGTTCCTGGTGTTGCTCTTTGAGTTTGAAATGAGCCCTCTGGTTCCTGAACGTTTTCGATGTGAAGTGTTGGGCAGCAGGTAGTCGCGATTTCATTGTGGGGAGACTCAAGCTCTTGGGGATAGGTCCAGAGCACCTCACTAAATTACATGTTGAGATTCATTTAACTCTTTTTGACCCCCATCCTTTCACTGATGTTTTCTGGGCTTTGTATTTACTTTGGATTACTTGTGTAAAGTTGATATCATCCCCCTACCCTGATTATTATTATTATTTTTTTTTTGAAAAACAGTTTTTTTGACAGGCAGAGTTAGTGAGAGAGACAGAGAGAAAGGTCTTCTTTCCGTTGGTTCACCCCACAAGTGGCTGCTACGGCTGGCCCACTGCGCCAATCCGATCCGAAGCCAGGAGCCAGGTGCTTCCTCCTGCTCTCCCATGGGGGTGCAGGGCCCAAGCACTTGGGCCATCCTCCACTGCCTTCCTGGGCCACAGCAGAGAGCTGGATTAGAAGAGGAGCAACCAGGACAGAATCCGATGCCCCAACCGGTACTAGAACCCGGGGTGCTGGCGCCGCAGGTGGAGGATTAGCCGGCCTAGAAAGCAATTTTTGAAAACAGTTTCTAGTAACTTTATTGAGGTCAGATATTGGAGGATTGCCTGTGATTGACAGTTTTATAGGCTTTCAGGGATCTTGAGTTGAGATGTGCATAACATACATTGTTCTATCTGAAGTTGAGGTTTTAATTTTTAAATAGTCTTTTTTAAAAAATTATTTATTTGAAAAGCAGAGTTAGGGAGAGAGAGTGGGAGAGACAGAGAGATCTTTGATCACTGGCTCATTCCCCAGATGGTCGCAATGGCCAGGCTGAAGCCAGGAACCAGGAGCCAGGAGTTTGATCCCAGTGTGCCACGTGGGTGGCGGGGGCCTGAGCACTTGGGCCATCTTCTGCTGCTCTCCCAGGTCATTGGCAGGGAGCTGGATCTGAAGTGGAGCAGCCAGGAGTTGGTCTAGTGCCTGGTGTTGCAGGTGGTAGCTTAACTCCCTATGTCACAATGCTGGCCCCTAAATAAAGTCTTTAAAAAATACCTTTCAGCATGAAACAGGAGCCTGAAGAGAGCTGAAAAGGTGAATACAGAACCCTGATTCGGTCCAACTCACTGGAGAGTTTGTGATAATTAATAATAACGATTGTATGTCTCTTCTCAGTCCTGAGACTGGTAGTACCGTTTCTGTAGGTCAGTGTCAACACACTAATGAAGCATGAATATCTTGAAAGTTTTCAAGTGACATCTCAGATTGGAGTCTTTTGCTTCACTGACCAGATTGGCCTTGGAGGAAAACGGATTCTTCCCTGTAATAGAGAGCTTAGAGCTCTGATAGATCATGCGGCTCTCCTCCCTTTGTGTCACATCACCAAATTCACAAAATGTTTCTAACACATCATTGCTGTATTCCTAAACTTTTGAGGTTTGTGGTGAGGTAAACAATATTGAGTACCCCTCTTTGGGAGGTGCAGTGTTGGTTGCTGTGACTCCGGTCATGAGCAAGAGCGCTGTTGGCCCCTAAAACTTAGGGTATCCAGTAGGGCTGGTTGCAGTGACTTTTCCTGGTTTGCTCTTATACTTTGATGCTACCATAAAAGTTTTACATAGTAGGCAATTATTTTTAAATTTTAGCATACTTTAAAAACTGAAATAGTGTAGCCCAGGGGCCTGTGTTGTGGCATAGTGGTAAAGCTCTTGCCTGTGATTCTGGCATCCCAGATGGCGCCGGTTTGAATCTCAGCTGTTCCACTTCTGATCCAGCTCCCTGCTAATGTGCCTGGTGGGGGGACAGTCGAGGATGGCCCAGCTAGTTGAGCCCCTGTTCCCTTGTGGGAGATGCGGAAGAAGCTCTTGGCTCCTGGTTTCTGCCTGTTCCAGCCCTGACTACTGGGGAATGAACCAGTGGGTAGAAGATCCCCCTCACTCTCTACTCTACCTTTTAAATAAATAAAATAAATCTTTAAAAAAAAAAAAAAAGAAATAGTATAGCTCAGTATTGGTTCCTGAAGATCTGGGTTTCAAATACCTGTTCTGCTTTTTTGCAGCTGTGGAGAACTTTAAAAATGCTTGATCTCTTTCTGAACATCAGTGTCTTTTCGGCAGAGTTGAGCCGAAACCTGCTTCCCAGCTTTGCACCCAGGGTGAATGAGAATGCTTGTATGAAAGTACCTTGTAAACTGGAAAGTCTTTTTTTTTTGAAAGATTTTATTTATTTTTTTGAGAGAGTTACAGACAGTGAGAGGGAGAGACAGAGAGAGGTCTTCCATCCACTGGTTCACTCCCCAGATGGCCACAAAGGCCGGTGCTCTGCTGATCTGAAGCCAGGAGCTTCTTCTGGGTCTCCCATGTGGGTGCAGGGACCCAAGGACTTGGGTCATCTTCTGCTCTCCCAGGCCACAGCAGAGAGCTGGATTGAAAAGGAGCAGCTGGGACTAGAACTTGCGCCCATATGGGATGCCAGTGCTGCAGGCGGAGGATTAACCTACTGCGCCATGGCGCCGGCACTGACCAGAAAGTCTTTTCTGCAGTTGCGTTCTCTTTTTGATGAACAGGTTCATGGTTGTGGGCGCTAGAAGAGATTTGCAGTGTAGTCACCCGGCCCATCCTTCCCACTTGTTAGATGAGGGGACTGAGGCCGGAAAGTCGGAAAGTCGAAGTGGCTTTTTGAAGGCTGCAGAACTAGTTAGTGATCAGACAGATTGGGAGCAGCTTTCTGCATTTCTCTGCATTCCTGTGCTTGCTGTTTTCTTCCTTAGAGTTTGTTATGTTAAACTCGACTGCTTCTCCCCCCTCACTAACATATTCAGTGCTTATTGAGTGACTAGAATGAGGAGCAGTATGGCTTCAGAAAGCAAATCTATAGTAAGGTTGAAAAGTTCTGAGATAGCATTGATGTAGTGTTCCCTTACTACGTTTTGGAGTTACTGAAGTTACAGAGTTCTAGAAAAAGAACTTGAGTTATTTAAGTTTCTACATGGTAGAGCCTGTAGCACCCCCCTCACCCCGCCTTTTTTAAATTCAACTCAGAGCATAAACACTTACATGTTCTTTAAAAAGGCAGTCAGTTTACCTTTCTCTGGAATTCATTGAATAATAAATTTATTTAATTTTATTAATTTAATAAAAACTTTAATAAATTCTCTACCTCCCTCCTTAAATTCATTTCCATTTGCAAGAGAAAGTAGTAAAGCTTCCTTGTTTTTGGAGCAGTGGCAACCTGTAGCCTTTCCCCATCAGCTGCCTTTAAGGGTTGCAGGTGAGTCCGGCAGGTGGACATAGACAGGAGCTTCCTGTTGACTATGTGAGGGCTGAGGCAGCAGCTGGCCACCTTCCTTCTGGAGTGGTGTGAGCCAGGGGAGGAGCAGCACTACCGGGGGTGGGGTGGGGTGAGGGCCCTGTGTGAGGGCCCCCTCCAGGGAGGGCTGAGCATTCGCTGTTCATCTGCTCTCACACTGGTGTTTTGCTCTTTGTGCAGAGCTTTGTGAAATGCCAGTGTTCTCTGAGATTGACAGTCCAGCCTTCTATCCACTGTACTTCCGCCTCCTGTTTCAGTATGGGAAATAAATTGGCCTCCTTGAATTTTTG